AAAAAACAACAAAAATAGTAAATGAACTAAACTCTCATGGTCTCTAGTAAGAACTCAATTCTCATGCTCTATAGTGTGGAGTTTATTTTCAAAATGGAAACTATTGTTGCGTAGGTGTGCGAGTGTTATAAGCGCGTTCTTGGAAAAGTTCGTTACTTTCACATTTCTTTGCAAATTTGTAGACGATATTTTCATTTTCCCTAACGGGATAATGTTTACCACATATACCACACAGTTACAGTTGCACAGTTGCGGACAGATAGACAAAATCTGAAACTGGCCAGGAACTATATACTCTGTCGAGTTGTCGAAGCTTGTTGCTGCGCCTTACAAAGGTATTGAAAAGTATTGAAACTTGATGCCCTACTATATTGGGCACACGTGATCAATATTTTCCAATTTTGTACATGTGGTACAACATCTCCCAACGAACATGCTTTGAAGTTTTTGTACATTTGTCTGCTACAGTTTATGAGTAATGAGCGAAATATCAATTTTTTTTTTTTTTGTATTTAAAAGCAGTCTACGTGGTGCTGTGAGTGTGTCGTTCCACCGATTTAGCCCATTTTAACACCAATCTGCGTGCAAGAACTTTGCACGTTTCTGCAAAATTTGAGGTCGTTACCTTCATTTTTTGGGCGAGGAGAATGTCTACAACAGACATTATACAGACGGACAGACATCCAGGCGGACGTGTTCAAATCGAGATAAATTGATCAAGAATATACGCACTTGGTGAGGTCTCTGATGCTTCTTTACAGGCATTTACAAATATTTTGACAAAATGAATATACTCCTCATGATGTATACCCACGTTATACTCGAGTACGACCTGACGCCCTCGTCCCGATCTTCGTCATCGCAACCCATAGATTTGTTTTATTTTGCTTTTTAATATGACCAATAACTGAGTGAATGCTACCTATTCGTGTGACACGGCGATGGCCAGGAAGAATGAGGAAGGAGAAAGGGATAGGGATGTGATGGCCACTCCCAGTCTAATGGGTTGCGAGCGTGCCCAATCGGTAAGTGCTTCGCCGGCTAAGTACAGTTAAGAATTTAATAGAATTCGAGAATTTTAGGTTATATTTTGCAAGAACCTTTACATGGAAGCGAGGTCAGCAAACAGTTGCACACCCTCGATAAGTTTCGATTTTATTTACTATTTAACATTGTTAATCTTTGCAAAGAAATATTAAAGACAGGAAAATTTTATCATCTAACCACTTTTTCAATATATGACATTATATGGGCAGTAGATCGTAAGCATGGTCTGATCTAAGAGGTACACGTGCCCCACTGTGTAAGTTATAGAATTCCTGCCCCAGCAGACTACTATAGCTGTATGGCTACATTTTCCGTCCTTTTCTCACCTGTTGAAAGCAAGGCCACTCCTTCGGCGACATAATTAAGCAAATCCGTGGTCATTACAAAGGTAAACTGCTACCTATTACTTCTTATCATCTTCCGGTCAGCGCGTGAATTCTGCTTCGTAAGAATACATCGTCCTTTGCCGCTATCGATCCATTTTTTTTATCAACACATCATGCAAATGCATTTTCGTCCGTACCTACACATATATATTTATTATATATCGATACATCGAGTCGTCGACCAAAGAAACCATGCTGCTATCACACGTATTGTCATATAGAGCTTAAGTATATATTTCGGGAATAAGTAGCCTTGATTTTATGCTTTAAAGCGCCAATTGCGTCGCTAAATAGAAACAAATAAGAAAATTGTATTCAGCTGTGGTCGAATTTTTTATACCCAACACATAACACCCACCAACACAAAAAAAATACGAAAACATAAAGGACGCCACTCTATAACATTGGACCGTGTATCTCTTGCAGTATCTAAGTAATGAGCAGAAAAGCCCAGACAACAAAATTGGTGTCAGTTTGTATTGCGCTATAGGTTTGCCCTTCGACTAATTTAAGCCATTTTCAATACCAATCTACGTGCAAGAACTTTCACTGTTTTTGTCAAATTCTACCTTCATAGCTTCATTTATGCATCAGTGAGAATCTTTACAGCAGACATGACACAGATGGGCAGGTGGACGGACAGACACGTGAAAAGGCGGACAGGTGATGAGACGGATAGATGGGCAGACGGACAGACAGACGGACATGCTTAAATCGATTCAGAATTTGATACTGATCAAGAATGTATATACTGTGTGAGGCATTTGAAGCTTCCTTCTTGCAAACGCTTCAACAAAATGAATTTATCCCCTTACTTCAGTCATGGGTATAAAGGGATCCTTTTTTTTAAGCATTAATTATCACACTTTCATTTCAAGCACTTTACGAGACTGCACTTCAAACTCTGTGGTAAATTCAAGGCAAAACTCCTTATTGAGCAATGCCCGAGAAGTTTATGGCTATCATATGTGTTCAATTATTTTGATGGTATAACAAGTGATTGTGTAATATAACTAGCGAAGAAATTAAAACAACAACAAAAATGAGATGCAATACCGAAAAATATTCTTATCCTTTCGTAACCACTTACTTGAAACATATGTAAACCATTCATTACAAGCATACAAGCGTTTCGGAAAACTGTCCGTTGCATTTATCTTATGTCCTATTTTCTTGCAATCAATGAATTTGTTACGCTCTTAATAAGAAGCCGAAGAAGGAGAAGGATTGGAAAGAAAACCGAATCGATTATAAAATCAAATAATTTCTTTTTAAGGAAAAGTAACGAGAAACTATTTAGTCTCGCTTGTATATATAGTGACGCATAATGTACATAAGAAAAAAAAAAAGAATAAAAAAAAAGCGACCCCA